TATTAAAGTTGGGAGTATTATCAGCGTCTACCAAAAATGAGAGCAAAATCTCACTTCAAAGGTGAACGAGATACTCATGAAAACCTGAAAGACAAGATTCATGAGCCTCACCTATGTCATCTGCTCCCAAATCAGGCTCGAAAAGCGGGGGTTTCTGTCCGTTAAGACAGATGCGACAAGTTAGATGGATTTGTTTATGGCAGGTTTTTTCGATCGATTTCGGCATGAGCTCATTCTGCGGGCCCAAACTCTTAAACGCCATCAACGCATCGTAAGTGCGACAACATTGGTTTTAGATTCCGTGAAGCTAGACAAGGTGACTTAAAACAGAGCATACGTATGCATCCACGTAAGCACACAAGCACGTACGCAAGCATGCACGCACGTGCACATACACATATGCTCGCGCGCGCGTTAATTAGGCAGGCATCGGTTGACACGTCCTTTAAGGACAGCTCAAGGCAGGGATATCAGATGACTAAGCATTACAGGCCGAGAGAACAAGGAAATGGGTTTGGCGCTTTGGAGCTCACGCTACAGAGTCGTTCCGCCTTGGAAAGCGGTTCTTTCCCACATGTGAAGCAAACGTGCCGTCGTGCGTGCTCTGGTCAGCCAGCACTGAAAAATCAGGCCTCGTCTTAACGTTATTCAAATGCGAGTTAGTCGGGTATCCCAAATGCACGGGAAAGGTTGGATGAACGGATCAAATCATATTTGCTGTGGATGGTTTTGATTCTTTAAACAGCACTCCAGATGCTGAGCTTGTTAAAAATGGTTCCGACCTGGAGACCACCACTATTCTGAAGATGAGTACGCAGCGACAGTTAAGCCTGTTCAATCGCAATGGGTATATGCTAGCGCCAGTCAGGGTGTAAATTATGCTCCGTCAGGGGGGTAAATCACACTCGGTCAGGGAAGTCATCACGCTCGGTACAACCGCAGCTAGGAGCTATGCTATGGCCGGAAGTTTTAACTTGGAAATTTCATCTATGACTGACATAGCGCCGCAGATGGTCACAGGAATGCTTGCCTTTCAGAACTGAATAAGATGGAATAATGAAGTGTTTTTTTGGCCAAAATATGTTCTTATATGTTATATCTAATTCCCATTGGTCCTGGCCCCCACTGCTTGCTCGGGAAAAATCGCTCTGATCTCAGCTCCCACTGGGTCTTTCGACAAAGCAAAGCCTTGGACGTTGGTGGTTCTTACTGATGGTTTCCGCAAAGTCAAACCGGATCCTGGTTCCCATTGCATCTTTCGACCACACAATATCCTGGATCCCGCTGCGCCTTGATTCCTTAGCCGACCAGGGACATGGTTCCTGGTTCTCATTGGTTCATTCGAAAGTATTGGGGCTTGATGTGGTTGTCACTGTCTTTTATAAGTGCAAGCTTGTGACTCCTGGTTCTCAGCCATACATTCGCACAAATCACACATAATAACCAAAATATTTTTGCCCTCATAATAATCACGTCGCACTCCGCAACCAAGTGAAACGAAAACGGTATGTCTTGCTTCCACCGCTACAATTAATAAAGCTTAACCACTAACTGAAGATCGTCGCCCGCAGCTTATTAGTGAATAGTTCACAGGTGGCATCATCTGCTCATCATTTCAGGACAACAAGGGTGTCTGGCTTTCTTTTGTTAAATATTGGCGTTGACTTTCATCTGTGGGTTAATTCCTTTGCAAGATTGATTCAGCTCAAAAACTTTCATTTTCTAGAGGATTACAGATATCGTGCCTTGCACAGCATTGGTTGAGAACCAATTGACGGCCGTTATATCCTGAAATCGTGCTCGCGAGGGCCACATATAAATGACGCGACAATGTATCTCGATTGGTCTTGACTGCCGCATGACTAATGGACTAACAGGATTTAAATGTCGTCATTGTTACGTCATAGATGCCTGGTTGACGTTGAAATGGTCTCCCCAAAATATCTGCACATCTTTACGGGCGTGTAGCTCAGAAACTAGAGGGCCGTAGGTCTTAAGTAGGGCACGACTGTAAACTGGTCGGAATGGTCTTCAAGATGGCTATTTCAGTTCAAAACCTGACACAAATGCGGGGCACTTCATTTGCAGCTGCTCAAACAGTGGATATCGCAATGAAAAATTACCAGCTTGCAGACAATTCCAGCAGCTTTTTTATACACGCTCTGCTTTGGGTGGGCATTCCTCACCTATACCCAAGATTGCTTTATGCTGTCAGCGAATATGACGTCTTTGGACCGTGGCGGGTGCACTGTTTTTCATGGGTAAATGCTGACTGTGTCTTGTAGGAAGCACTGTAGCAAAAGTGTTGCCGCGTTGTTAGTGAAGCTTTAAAGACTTCTTAAACATACATGCAAATGCTGTGAACCCCAAGCTCTGAAGTCTTTAACTCACCCTGCTTGGGGCACATCCCAGAACTATAAATGAGGCAGAAGTGCACACAATTTCACGTGGTAATGGTACGGCCCGCGCCGGGCGGGGTCTGTGCGAGGGACCGGGCTGGCGGACACGGACCGCACCAGGCATGGCCCGTGGGAGCGACGGGGCTGATACACGCGGCCCACAATAGCACTTGCAATGTCAAACTCCGTGGTCCATACTTCAAGCGGGCGTTTCTTGCGTGGGCCCGTCTGAGGGGCACGGGCAAACGCGGCTGGACAGTGGACCCACCCCGCCACGGCGCGGCAGTTGTTGGTGACAATCCTTCGTGACTGGGGGAGTCAAGGCTTGCTCAAGATGGTGCTCACAGCCGAGGAAAAACATTTTGCGCTGAAATATGCAAAAACCGAGTCTTTCCAAAAGAGGCCTTTTTGTAAAAAAGCCATGGCAAGTAGATGGAAATGATCAGGAAGAGGTCTGTGTTCTTTTATGACTTAGTGTGTGATGGGTCATTATTCATCACTTAATGACACAACATTACCATCCTTGATGCCTCAGATGCCTCAGATGAGCCATAACACAAGCAAGCAAGCGAACAGACATGCATGGTTCAGACACTGTCTTTAAAACGTTTAATCCTCCTGAACTTTGTGCTGAAATAAAGAATTAAAGAATGTATACGATTAATTCACGGGATTTGTTTGCCAACCTGCAATCACACAACATTTAACCTGAATTATTGATCACTCACTGTGAATACAAGTTGAATTAATTTAAAAATGTCAAAATAAGTATGGAAACAGAACGTGGGACAAATCAGCGCCGAATCGATTCACAAACTGTAAGATGATTATTTTAACAGCTGATTCATCGGACTGGTATGCGAATCAACAAAGAATCGATCCACAAAAACAGAACAACGATTTGAAAAGATCTCAACAACTGTCATGAATTGATAGTAAATGATCCTATAAAAAAATTGAATCGAGCAGAAGTCTGCCCGCAGCTCTGCATCTCGCTAAAAACAGCCGGGATCAAATTCCACGCATGTACAGCGCGATAGGAACAGGTCCGTTGCATGGCTGAAAGGCGACATGTCTCCAGCTGCAGGACTCCCGCAGCAGCCGCCCCTGTTCTCCTCTGGGATATCTGGGAGCCTCTAACAAAGAGAGCTCTAAGGGCTGGCGGGCGGTCCCATTCATTAAGCGCAGTGAACGCTTTGAGGCAATCTCGCTGATGCACCATTTTCAGACACCCTAACGAGGAAAGGGCTAGTGAGACATTCTCACCGCGTCGAACCGCGGTGAGACGTCTCGTCACAAAGTTGGCAGCTTTCTGAATTGGTGACAGATGACATTAGGCAGCGCCTCCCAAACAGGGAGCCAGTGTAGTAGATAGGGGAAAACAAGAACCTGTGCCTGGAGCTCAAGGACTTTGGATGTGAAATAGTGACGAATTTTAGAGAGGGACAAAAGGACAGAGCTGCATTTGCAAGCCACCAGCGGTATTTGGAGTTCCCGCGTCAGGCCTCGGTCCAGGACCACACCCAGGGCCTTCACCGTGTGTGCATTCGATCAGCTGACATGGACACATGATCGGGGACATAGTTTGTCATAAACGATGACTTTGGAAGTGATGATATATGGCTGCTCACCATGCCGTTGAAATATAAATTGGAATTGAAACCTCACCTTGCGATCGGCGCCATACGCCAGCCAGACGCAAACATTCCAGGAAGAATAGAGAGTAAGATGTTGTGACCAAAAGGTCTTCGAATCTATGAGACCAGAGATAGGTGAAGGATGCGTGAGATCGATGAAAAGAGATTCTTCATTTCTTCATCGCCCCGGCGTCCCAGCTGGTTTCAAGGTCACGGTCACGGTGTCCGACGGAGTTCGTCGATCGCGCCCGGTCACCCGATACCGTCTGGTCGGCGCGTGGCGTGCGCCGCGCACTATTCGCTAACGTTCCAAATTGATTTGCGACCGGCCTAGAACGGATTCCATCGGATTTTATGTTCTGAATGGCAATATTTTGATGTTCAACCAACCACGAAAAGACTCACAAAAAGGCTAAAATTGACGAGATGTATGCTGAAATGGACTATGGTGCCATGCTCTCCCCGCAGGTTTCAAAATTGTAGGTATAACCTGCATTACATTGAACAATGGTTGTCCAAGGCAATAACCACGCTGCCACAAGCCGTGGATCGCCGGGAGAGCAGCTCCTGCTGCGTGCTCTGACATCGGACTCTAACGTCGGACGTCGGTGGTTACGGACCAGACGGTGCGTTAGCTGGGCGCGGTCGGTTAGCTGGGTGCGCGAGAGCTAGCTTGACGATCGGTTTGCTGGGCGCGTGGGCGGCAGCCAACCGCGCGGTCGTTTAGCTGGGTGCGCGGGGGTTAGCTTGACGATCGGTTTGCTGGGTGCGATCGGTTTGCTGGGCGCGTGGGCGGCAGCCAACCGCGCGGTCGGTTAGCTGGACGCGCGGCGTTAGCTGGGCGCGCGGGAGTTAGCTGGACGGTCGGTCAGCTGGGTGCGCGGCGGATGGCTTGGAGCGCCGCCCACGCGCCGCTCCTGACGCGCCATCGTCGGCGCCGGCGCAACTGCCGCAGAGCTGAAAAAGCAGGGCTCGCACCAGCCGCAGGCATTGGACGGGGGGCCAGCGACCGGCGCAGTCATCCCCACATCACCGGGCTCGCCGCACCAGGTAAGGCTGCATCCGCGCTGCCAGGCTGAAGAAATCTGTTCAGCTGAGTGGGATACCATTGAACGCGGACGATAAATGCAGCATGGCATTGGAAGCACTAACTTAAAAATTGGTGTGGTTGTGCCACTTCGATTTTCAAGGTCAACCAAACCGACAAAATTTGCTGCTCACCTAGAAAGAAACACATGCGCCATCGGTAATAAACCTCTAAACAATTTTCGAGACTGCATGGGTCCACAAGCTGACGAGACTTTAACGTTCAGTATAATGGTGGGCGGTTGCTGACTATGTTACCAATTTAAAGATGAAATACATCTCAATGAAATCTAAAGTAACCTTCTAAGAAAATACAGCATTTTTCAGACGATAGTCGCTGAAGGTGTTGGTGCACCCAGCCATCGTTGCTGTACTTCAAAAAACGTTAACATGTTATAAGGAACGTTTCATATTTAAAGATATTGAAGCGCGTATCAGATAGGATGGAACAAGCTCACGTATTCTAATGGGTATACTTTGAAGTGCAAAAACCACTTGAAACCCACTTGACGGCTGTTATATATATATATATATATATATATATATATATATATATATATATATATCGAAATCGCACTCATGAACACTAGATAGAAACGACTCGACCAATACATTTTTCTCGGCCTTGATCGCCACATGGCTCATGGAATGGCAGGATTTCATTGGCGTTGCCATGACGTCATGAATGCCAAGGTGATTTTTAAACACTCTCCCCACTTTTGCGGGCGCTTAACTCAGATACTAGGGGGACTTCGGTCTTAAGAAGGGCACGGTTGTGAGATGCACCAAAATATTTTCAAGGTGGCTGACTCAGTTCAAACACCCATATAAATGTGGAATACTCTCTTTAAACAGTGAGCACTAATGCGGATTCGTAACGTTTAGCGAATGAAGAAGTTTGATGCAGATGCAGAACAGTGCTGGATACAGAGGTATAGAAGTCAGCAGCATTTGGAGGTTGCATGCAACGTGTTAAGTTGTTCGTTTTGTTATATATCATGCGGCTGGTCTTAACCACATTGTTGGGCAATTACTAGAAAAGTGAAGTTGAGATGGGTTTTATTGAACGGCAATACAATTAATAAGTGATGCCAGCAGAGCCAGCAAACTCATAAAACAAAATGTTTCCAGAAAAGTTGGTCATCTGGCCTAACACATGCAGCGCAACATGGCCATGTCAAATTTTGACAGAGTGCGTGTCTCGCTACTCCTGCTCCGATGCCGCTGATTCATACCTAAGGACCCAGGTGATTGGTACCCTCCTGCTCCGGCGCCGTTGGTTGATGCCTAAGGACCCAGGTGATCGGTACCCTCCTGCTCCGATGCCGTTGGTTGATGCCTAAGGACCCAGGTGATCGGTACCCTCCTGCTCCGGTGCCGTTGGTTGATGCCTAAGGACCCAGGTGATCGGTACCCTCCTGCTCCGGTGCCGTTGGTTGATGCCTAAGGACCCAGGTGATCGGTACCCCCCTGCTCCGATGCCGCTGGTTGATGCCTAAGGACCCAGGTGATCGGTACCCTCCTGCTCCGATGCCGTTGGTTGATGCCTAAGGACCCAGGTGATCGGTACCCTCCTGCTCCGGTGCCGTTGGTTGATGCCTAAGGACCCAGGTGATCGGTACCCTCCTGCTCCGGTGCCGTTGGTTGATGCCTAAGGACCCAGGTGATCGGTACCCCCCCTGCTCCGATGCCGCTGGTTGATGCCTAAGGACCCAGGTGATCGGTACCCTCCTGCTCCGATGCCGCTGGTTGATGCCTAAGGACCCAGGTGATCGGTACCCTCCTGCTCCGATGCCGTTGGTTGATGCCTAAGGACCCAGGTGACCGGCGCCAGATAGTTATGTTTGGAAACAGTGATATAGTTAAGCATGTACTCAGCAGTTATGATGCACAGCCAGTAAGGACAGCCTCATAGACACATGCTATCCATTTATCGACATATGCACCTCTTAAAAACCAAATGACCTGGTTATATGCCAAGCGCCATGCAAGGTCTTGGCTTTTAAGTGTTAACGCTTGCATCATTATCGTATCATGCTCATATAGCAATTCGCATATCTCATGATCAATTGTTTGTTTCTGGATGAATTCAGCTGGCATTCGATTCGGTGTGGAAATGCCCACTGCGTTTGTCACGGGCTCGAAGATAACAAGTGATCGACGATCCCAAAACAATGCTTATTTCAAAACGATGTCACTGTTTTACAACTTGGCTGCATAAAATTTCACTTTGGATGGAAAGCGGTCGATTTCTGTGTGTATTTCCCTTAACTTTTTGGTATATCAGTCCTTGAAATGCAGCTTTGCTTACGGTCTACCGGCTCGTTATTAGGTTTTGGGCGTGGAATAAACACTTTGTAGATACCATCGTTTCAAAAAATACCTTGTTTCAAAACAAGAACAAGCAGAAAATGTCTATAACTGGGTTATTCCACTATAAATCAACTGCGGATAGGTGCCTTTCAACACGGCGTTCCCTTTAACGATGACGAGGACAGCTGTATGGGGTAATTATATGACATTCAAAACACGATTTTTCAAGCTCTAGAGTCGCGCAGCGTACCAATACATAACTAGAAGCAGACTGTGCAATGACGTAACAGATGCTATTTTTCAGCTTGCTCTAGCGAAAGCGGATTGCGAAGTATAATGTTTAGAAAATTACATAAAACATCTGAACGCCTATATGTTTCTGAAACATCAGCTGATATAACATTCAAGCTCCGTCAATCACATAAAGGACCTTAGGTTAAGCTTTGACCTCATTTTCCGGAAAAACCCTGGCGCCTTCGACTTTCCTTAAGCCAATACGCAATTTAAGACCAATTTATTGCCGTTCAGGCTAGGGCAACACCGATGGGATCTTTTCCAGTCGGTCCCAAATCGAATTTGAGCGTTGGGGGATCACGCACGGCAGCACACCATGAGCGGGTATGCCGGTAATGCACGACCAGGCACGATGAGCTCACGGATTCGGGATCTGCGAACGCGATCTTGAAACCAACTGGGACTCCAGAACAATGTTTGAATAGGGTCACGAGTCACGTATATAGAGCTAAAATAGGCTTCGGTTACAATGTGTGGAGCCATATGTCATCCGTCCCAAAGTCGTCGTTTGTAACAAGTTATGTTGCTGATCATGTTTTCATATCAGCTGATGTCAATACATCAAGGTAAAGGTCCTGGGCGGGGTCCTGGACCAGGGTCCGGCCTGGGAACCCCACATATGGGCGGTGGTTGGTTGTATGATTGTAAAAATGGGCTTCGCCTTCCCTTCCACCTGACAGCGGCTCGGAACGTAAAGCATCGACTATCGCGCTGGGTGCGGAATTGGGGCATACACAGCAGACATGCTGCTGACGCTAGGATTTTCTGGCGGAGACCTCTTAAAAAATTCACGACTTTCACGACAATCGGGGTGGTGAAGACCAGTCGGTACATGCTCACTGAGTATTCGAAGTTGAGTGCACCATGGGCTGGTCTTGCTTGGCAAGAAGATTGCCTATCTGGGGCTAATTCATGCCACAGAAGATTGGCGCTACGCGCTTCTGAGCATTTGTGCAGCATAAAGCAATCTTGGTGTGCTGCTGTACTTTTTGGAAAACCCTCATTTTATGGGGTGGAGGCTCGAATGCTCTTTTCAGGCTTTCACCGAATAGCCTTCAAACGACTTTGAGCACAGTACTTAACGTTCGGGTGCTTGCGTTGATATTATATATACACATATTGTCAATTTTAAAGCCTCCGACCCACGCGGTTGATGATCTGTGACATTTAAATTAAGGTCATGTCAATTCCACTTTACCCTGGGGTTGCAACTGACCTGTGTTTCCCGCAGAAACTGCACTCCAAACACGTTTTCTAGACGATTTTCGTAAACGTTTTCTCTTTTTTTATTTTCTCTTTAGTATTACTACCGTTCTGATATGTTTTGCAAGGTCGGATCACTCAGGATCTTGACGTTGTGGTGAGATTTGACCTTTTAAAGATCATATACTTCGAGCAATTATCATCTTACAGCTTGCGAAGGACTTTCTTGCGCTGTTCTCTCTATCCAAGTTTTTATAGTTTTTTTATGTAACCGGACTGGCCAGCACACTAATATGCTTCGCCCCATTAATTTAACATGGTGTACTACAGGTTACGCCTGGCGACGTCCAGTAGAGGCCATGTGATAACCGCAATAGCTATTACCACGGGATTTTCCGCGTAGTTGTCACAAGCTTAGTTGTTAAGATAGCAGAAAGGTCTATAAAGTGCTAGTTTGACATTTATGACGTAATTTAATCTGGCACATGTCATATTCGCCATTTTCAGTCACATCTGTCGGATGCAGTACTGTTGACAATTTTTTCCTACTGCAAGCTGCAGTGCGTCATTCTCATATCTTGACTACCACATATGTGTTGAGCCTTGGTTTTGAGCTGGAAGGGCGTGGTTTGTAGGGGAAGCTTCGGGAGGAGAGATTTCTTGTTCTATAACCCACGAAGGCAAGCGCTGGAGCCTCAGTCTCTTCCATGAGCAATGCGAATGCACAATGTTTCGTCAAGCGCTCATCTGTCACTGCGTCACTCTTCATTTATATCCTACCGTTCCTATGCGGTGTCAAGTAATGTATAGCCCAGAGCAACTCTTACCAGGGCACAGACTGCTGAACCCAGAGCCACGCGTGCCACGAGTGATTGTCGGCAACCAGGACAGCTTTTCTCGCTAGGTGATGTTTTCCTGTGGTAAATCAAATAACTGAGGGTGACTTTTGTGAAAGCCTTCACAGATGTGACTGTTCGCTTGGTGCTTTGTCGTCCGCTGCGCCAACATTTAACAAGGTTTGGCATGTCTGGCGCGCGCGCTCTCGGCCTGCTGTGCGGACCGACGGCGTCTACGACGGCGGGTCTGCTGCACCGACCGCTCGGCCTTATGCTGAACGCCACGTCGCCCACGGGTGCGCACGCGCTGCTCTCTCTAGGGCGCCGGTTTTGGAGATATTCGTAGCTTGACTAACTATGCGGACTACGTATTGGACTGGCTCGGCTTAGATTACTGTCAAAAACACGGATATGTAGCGGGCTAGAAATGTCAAAAGCTAGAAAAAGATGAATTTAGGACTGGAAACCACTTACGTGATACCATTGCTAAAACAGCTGCAATGCAATATTGCGTGATGAGAAACTAGATTAGCGATGAACCTGCCACGTTTCGACAGCCCTCCTGGCCCTGGATATCCTGGGATCTGTCCTGACCTCGAAGGGCATCATTGTAGACTAAACACGGAATGAGAGTTGATGGCTGTTCATGTAATAAAACCTGACAATGATCTTGTCACATAAAACTGTTTTTAAACGTGCACAATGTCAACAATAATACTGACCAACAAAAACAAAGCTGACCTCATGCATTCCGAAAACATTTATGAATGTACTTATACCTCAAATCATGCCATACATGAAACATAGGTGGCCCAGTGCGTGCACCTCATTCGACCTTCCCTCACACTTTTGAACATGAAATTAAGAAAAAGAGGCCTTTACGCCATCCTAAACAGGTGCGACGCAACAGCCTTTGATTCAGTTCACACCACACCGACCACCATGAACTCAAAACAATTCTGCCAACTATTATTACTTTCGGTTGGAGTCATGGCATTCCATCCTTCCCATCTGTAAGTAGACACGTGCCCCAGAGACGATGATGTACCGAGGAAATAGTATGCGTTCATCGTGACTAACTTTATAATATCGTCAACAAACTGAATAAATGACACGCCCCCGCCGTTATATGGCACAGTGCCATAGTTCTCTCTTTTGTCAACAGATGGGTTAGTCACCCCTGCGTTTTACCTATGACCACTTGATAGACACAGTGGAACATGGTTAGCACGAATTAACCTGGAATGCCTGGCGGTCCTGCACTTTGCTCCAGCAAAGATTCCGTGCCATGAGGGAGCATGAGGGAGAATAGCACCGACAGCGTTCGCCGTAGTCAGGCCAGACAGTATTTTCAGAGCACACTACATACAGCAGCAGAACTGACAGCGTGCTGCGCGCGGCGGCCGTGGTCCCTCCGCCACGGGCCAGTTAGCAGTCCGCGTCAGGCGAGTTAAAAATTTGCACGAGGCTTCCTTCAACTTTTGCTGAGAGGTACTACATGTTTCATCATTATCCATGCCATGTGGAATATTTGTTCAGATTATTGTCCTAGTTTAATGTTAGTATGTACATCACGTTTCGGCCAGTCGGTTTCTGGGCCGTTGTGAAATGTGTCGTGACCCCTGCTGGTGTGTGGCTGAAGGTCATACACCTGCCATACATGATCCAGTTTTTGTCAGGATTCGATGACACATGATAACATCGAGCAAACCGATCGGCCGTGCCATTTGTATGCACATACTGACACCACAAACGAGAGCGTTGCTCCGGACACCAAAACTGCACCCTGAATTTTCAAACCTCTTCAAAACTCTTATTTAAAGGCGCTGTCCATTCATTCACCTGTTCTGGCGACACACAGGGAAGAAGGCCTTAAACGCCGCTGCCCGCTGGTCAGTTTTGGATTACATGAGAATGCGCGATAGTGAAAACAGCGGTGCATATCGCATTAGTGATGCTGATCAATGATTCGACAGCACCAGTGATCGAGTCACTTGGCCTCAAAGTGCGCTACAGTCAGGGCCGGCTGAACCGCCCAAATTAACATTTTCACTGGCTTTTCACTAAGAGGTGGTATTGCTTTGTCATTCATGATGACATTTTACTTCTGTCTGTCCTTCACCGTCAGTGTACGCACGTACATCAGTGTCCCCGGTAACACGCTCAGCGTGACACATGCCGTTTTCCGTCTCACCACAGGTGACGCGGCGGGATGAGGCTGGACCGAGGCGAGACCCTGCTGCTCGGTGCTGTTCTGCTATGCTGCGCCGTCGCCAGCCCGACCAAACCCGTGCAGAAGCGCGTAAGCAACGACATGCATGCTCAGCCTGGTGACTTACTTGCGAGCACCTACCAGTATCAGGCTATCTGAGAAAACATCTTCGGAGTCATTCGTGCGAGAGTCGCTGATACTTTCTGCTCCATTTGATAAAAGCTAGTGCCCGGTGGGCATGCCATCAATCCTCGCTGCTCGGAAGTTTTCACCTTCGCCCTTAAAAGCTGAGGGCCCAGAGGACCCGTCAGATCTTAAAAACTAGGCAAGTTAGAGCATGTGGATGGTCCTTGGACTTTGGATTAGATTTTGGACAAGAACTTTCGGAAAAACGGCAGCCTTGGTCAGGGTGACGTCCCGTTGTGTAACTATTGTTTGGCCACCGTCGTGTGCATGTCGTAAGATATGGTGGTTCTGCTCGACGGCTATGATAAGCTTTGCGGTGCGTTGAGCCTGTGCTCTCGAACCAGGATTTTTTTAGTTTGGGCGTTGTGGGCATTACTTGTGGCTCTATGCTATTGACAACCAGTTCATTTATTGAGCGGAAGCCAGTAAAAAAGGAAGGCGAAGCCATTTTTGACGGTACCATATGCCGGACAGGTTTTACTTTTAAGCAAGAACGGTTTGAGCAAGAGCGAGCAACGAGTATCGTTGGACTTTGGAATCCAAAGATGGATCTAAACCCAACCTAAAAAATCCTAGAAAGGCTACACAACCGAGGTTACACATCAGAGGGTGCCACTCGCCCTAGGCCAGGTGGCGGCACGGGCCCCACCACAGGGAGCGTGCTTTCGCGGTCCGCAGCCACATGTAGTCGACGCCGTGGCCCGCATGTGTGTAAATATAGATTCGGGTTCTACAGAAGCCGGAAATAGTGAGCAAGCGGGTCAAAGTTCGGTGTGTGGAGGAACTGCCACCGGGCGTTATTGATCAGTGCCCCATTTAAGGTGTTACGTGTCAAGATGCCTGCGCAGGGTACGTGCCCAACTGCCTCCTATTTCTCAGGACCCTATCTCAGAGCCAACGTGTCGTCCTCGTTTGCTGTGGAAAATGTAGCGTTGCTGTTGAACTATTCTAAGTCTGAAATTACGAGGTCACTTCGGGCACCGATGCACAGACTAATGGATATATTGTTTCTATGTTTACGTGTTCTGTTCATGCTTACAATGCCGTGAAATGCTTTGACAGGAAATCCATCCAAACTTGCTGTTCCAAGCGCAAGACAAAAGGCCATTCTGCAATGCCTTCACAGGTAAGACAATGTAATATAACAGAGAACGCTATCAGCAATCCACGCAGAACAGCGGAACCCGCTGTGTTCTGAACTGGTCGCGTGCCACCAGTTCAGTGAATTTATGTGAATGCGACAGCCGAAGCATGCTTGCCTAAAGCACATAAAACATGCATGGTGTGAACTAGGCACCTCCAGGTATTGTTTACCTTAGCCCGTTGTTTCTTAGAATATATATGTGATTAATTGATATGTTGATTTCTACAATGCTGCATTCCAAAATGCATTTTCCACGATACAGTTTTCGGTTTGACGGCTGTGCTTATGAGCCTCTTAAAGTTGTGGGCACGTATTATGTCTTGGTGGTGTGAAGTCGCAATCCACGGCACTGTGAGCATGTGGCTCCTTTTGGTTAACAAGACAGAGTCGCACTACTCTGATCCAAAGCACTAACCTCCGCCCTGAATCAGCGTTTTCGTGGCGTAAACGGATGGGGGCGGGGGGGGGGGGGGTGGATAGAGCGACACCCTGCTGTTTCCAAAGGAAGAGTGATAGAGCCTCGCAGAAAATAACAGTGGATTGACCTCAAATATATGTCACGACTGGCAATATCTTTGATCTTGCTAGAGAATCACCTTTGTCTTAAAATTGAACGCTGGGCGAATTGTTTTTTTTATCTGTTTTGCATCCAAAGGTTGTTACAAACACATTTTCTTCAGAGGCATCCGGGTCGAAGCTCGGAAACGGTGGTTTGAACCCCGCAAATAGCGTACTGTGCATTAAACAACAGCAATATAGCGGTCTGCAGCCAATTCCCCGAACGGGGACAAGCTGGCACGGGACGGCCATGTAGCATCATTGGTGTTTGCGACCAGGACTTGGGGGCGGATCCAAGGAAAGAGGTGACCGGCCCATGTCCCCCTTCCAAAATGACCCACGTCGCACAACACAGCACATTTCCGGACTTGAAGCGAAATACAAGCAGTTTTACCAGGAGATGTTTGTTACAGGGCCTTTGTAGAAGTTAAAACTGGCAAAGCCCGATGGATTTGCGAAAATCGGGGTATTTCTTGTCGTTTTTAGCCCGCAAGCCATCGCTGCTCCCAAGGCTGCGTTCTAGATCCGCTTTTGCCAGGTCTGATGATCATATAGATGATACGACGAAACCGAAATAGTAATTCAAGCTATCTGAACACCAAGATCCTGCATTATCTTTGGAGGCGTACGTAAAATTGTATAATGGTGAGGAGAGGGCAGAACTTTACGTTTCGTCTCGAATTCCCGATTTTTGAGAGTCCTAAACACCGCGGGTGATTTATCTTCTTATTTTTAGGTGAAATATCTGACAGTCAACATTTAGTCACGTATGTATTAACGCTTTAACAAGTGTCAAAATCGGTAGTTGGGCGGGGGAGGGGCACATTCCTTTGGAGGCTACTGTGGGAGGTAGGCTCCGCATCAGGCCGCGCATGATGGTGCCAAACGGTGCATTGATGGGTTGTGGAGGAGGGGCTCCCAACGACCAACAAGAGGGTCGGGGTGGAGAGTGGGAGCTAGAGCCTCTTTGACGTTACCTTTGCACGGCGTACAGACTACAGACCATGCCAACGCTAATAGCTGCAGTTCCTATCAGTACGTAGCAACGGGCTATCAAGATTTTTTTTCCCGGCGCAAAAACTCTGCAACTTAATAAATTTACGATTCGTGCAACTCTAAAAAGGTCCTAAAAGGCCTCCCTGATATGCCGACTGTTAACAATTTGAGGGCTGACCGAACAACTAGAACAGCCTTTCATAGGCACGCCTCAAGAGAAATGCTGCAGCGCTAAATTAAGCCCGGCAGTGCGCTGCACAGTATGCTTAGGTACCGACCGGCACATGGCAACGACTTCGGTCTGTTGACAAAGCCCAGACGGAGATCCGAACGAATGCCGCGACAGCCGGCGTCCGTTCAACAAAGGGCTGCTGTCGGAGTCGGGCTGCAGCGGGCCCGCGGTCCGCCACTCCCTCGCTCGCCGCCACCGAGCGCCTTTGTGCGCCCGGGCTGCCGCTGCACAGAGCACGGCACACTGACATCGGCTGTATCGGCTTCTTTGCACTGCCTGGCGGACGTAACCCTGTTGGAGCGACTCGACCTATGGCACAGACGCTCACGGATTTACAGAAATTAGCAATTGTTTCACCTTCACGCGCAATGAGGCGTAAACCCGCTTGAGGCTGTTTTTTTTTTGTTGTTGTTTTAAGCTTAGTGTTCTGCATTTGCAAACGCGGAGTGACAGCGACCTGAAAGTTCAGAACGGCTAAGTAAGCAACGTTTGTTGCTTTTGTAGAGGGAAGTGAAAATGAAGACCGCGCTAGCCCGTGTTATGACGACATTGGTTTGTTCAATCATGCTACTTTTGCCGTCGGCTGTTTTCTTGCCGGTACGCTGTACCTCCGGGTCAAACCACGGCATCAAGCGACAATGACGGGTCACTGCGAATCGAGACAGGAATTCAAAATGTATCTGCTACCGTATTATCACACCGAGGTGACGCCGAGCTGCTAGATGCTATTTTTGGATGAATTACCCCAACGAGACCACCAGGTGGCTCTCGCAGTTGTGTAGATATGTCTGATTCCGTCCCCGTTTCTCAACATTAACCCAGCGACGATCTACAGACATTGGATCGGAGTGGCAAACCCTAAACCATGGCTCAGGATGCAAGAGCGGCTCTTGTCGAAATGATGCCGTTTCCGTTCGGCGGGTAACGTGGGACGAATCGGTGGGGCAACCACGACCTTCGCAGCTCCTGTTCTCAACTATACTTTTATGTAGAGAGTTTCGCTTGAAATTTACGAGACATCTCAATTGGTCCGGTAGTACTATCAAACGGAATTTGACCAATTTTACCGGTGTACGCTTGCTGTCACAAATCACTTTTACACCCTGAAAAAATATCGAAACAATTAAGTGATGTACTCAGTAGGGCAAATGCGCGCCAAACCAGCACATATGTAGATATTTTAGAAGCGGAGCTTCGTACAATATACTGGTTTTCTCGAGCGGCCAAATATCTTGGCGTTGCGTTCGTCTCTTTTTAAGACTGTCTCAAATCTGATCAACCTCCGGATCCAAAAACAACAGATCAAATGACATCTGCACTTTAATGCTGAATCGATTGAGGAAGAACAAACGTGACTGGAGCAGAAAAATGCACGTAAAATATTGAAAGACTGTCCTTATATTACGTTGCAGAGGGTAGGGGGGCTATGCCTATCACCATGCTGGTTCCCAGATAAAAAGTCGAATGAAACAACTGATTAGAAATGATACTGATAAAAAAGTCAAGCGATTAACATTGCGCGCATCAAGTTTAATGGATAAAAGTGCACAGGGCTACAAGCTGAAACGGGTGAAGTTGAAGGAGTAAGGGTCAAAAGGTCCGCCGATATAATGGTCAAGCTAGAAAAAATTGAAGGATAAAGACTATTGAGAAATTAAGGGGGCCATTATAAGGGTTGAAGGACGAAAAATCAAAAGGGACAGTAGTGGACAGGGCACAATAATTCGACACGGATGAATAAAGATTGGGGTAACAGCATACGAACAGGTGGTACAGAAGGTTTCGGGCAGGAGGGTAATGCAGATTTGACGCCTGTCATGTCGTTCTGAGGCGAAACCACTCAGAGTCACTGCGATGCACCCATGGACCCTATGTGGGGGCTTCGGAACGTAGTCGGGACTAGACCTGGCAATCCGACGGTGACGTCACCGTAAGGATGCCCGAGGGCCTTAACGTATTGAAGACATTACGTTATGAGTGTTTTAATGATCGTTTTCAAGAACTTCTAAGCAGTTCTTCTCTATAAAGTGAATCTCAAAACGTTTGTTAGTAGGCCTGCTAGCCATACCTGGGGCTAAAACATGTAACTGGTGACATGTCCGAACACCAGTTCGTATCATAGCGCCCTGTTTTTCTTCAGGGAAAGATGTCGCCCTGAACTGAAACATCTCACAAATTTGGCCAGATTACTACCATGGCTGTCAATGACCGTTTCGGGTTATCGGTCCAGTTTACGGCATGCTTCAAGCCGATTAAACGTATAAACAAACAAACAGCTCGATGGAGAGGAAGTGGTCGAGTGTAAAACCAATAAGCGAACGACAGCGGTCGTTTTCAATGTTTAGAGAGACACCTGGAATCCTCCTAGCCTGAGGGGTTGGTAAAGCAGCTGCGATCTGACTTGAAATGATGCCGGCAATAGAAATGTCCGAGTGTTTTTTGAGCAAATGTATGGGCTCGAAACTGAAACTTTCCGACGAATATTGGAGATCAGCCATCCATTTTGAAGCATTCATTCTGTACAGCGCCATAAACACAACGCTGATATTCTGTAATCTTGGACCGATGTAGTGACGCTCCCATTCACAGCATTAAAGCTACACACACGCGAACGCCCCAGCCCACTATCGGTGTTGCGCTCAGGGCGGATGAAATGCACGGCCACTTGAAGATTTGTATTTTCGGTGATGCACGCCAAATATCTCAACACAAATCTTGCTAACAACGCCAGATATTGCTCACAACATCCCTGTATATGTCCCTGCTTCATCTACAACAAGATGAAGTGATATTGGCACCGTTGCTGACGTGAGGGCATCCTTACTCATATAATTGATTTTACCCCACTGCTAACCATGTGTTCGTTGATATGTGCATGAATATTGCGAAGGTGGATAAGTGACAGAAACGGTTTTAGGAAAACGTACTAGAAAGACGATACATCATGAATTTAGCACGCGTAGTTCATCCAGGACCAAGCGCCTGCTACGTCCCAGCAGACCTCACGTGGTGCTGAGTCAGATACGCCACAGCTACCGGGCGTTGCACAGGCTGTGATGTGAGCAGGGGCGGCGGCGGTGATCTGTACACTGTAACGAAGTAAACGACGACTGCACGCTGTGATGAAAGTGCATTTTACCTTCAGCAACTTCGCATATCGTACATTTGCCACCAATATTCGGTATCGCCAAAGGCGCACACAAGCACTGCAATAAAGGCGAAAGGGACCCCGCTTAATGCAATTTTGTACCCATTGAAAAACGTAGTATGCAGCATATTTCATTTCTATCTTGACAATGACAATGACAAATGACGAACGTACTTTACTGAATCACAGAAAACTGCGATGGTACCAACTAAGCACTCGCAACCCACCTTCCACCACGGATAGGATTATCAAACTTCTTTCGGGAATACATTACCATTCTATGACTCGTCTTATGAAAACACGAGCGGCACGCTTCAAGCGAATCAGCAGGTTTGGATTGGCTGAAACTGAAGCCCTTTCACGCAGCGCTGACGATTTCAGGGTTGTGAGATAAAGGAGGTGGTAAGTGATGCGGTGAAACCGCGACAATTGTGGCTTAAGCGTTGCAGGCGCTCTGCCATTGAGGGCACACTGTACTCCCGTCATCCAAGGCGACCTGTGCTTCAATCTCTTCTATTCTTTTCACATCTCGGTTACGCGCCGCGTTTGGAGTGCTGCGAGGTGCGACTTTGGTACCACATCGGAAAGCTTCATTTCAGGATGTGGCCGCAAGAGGTCAGACCTATCGACAATGGAAGACGTCGGGAACGCGGACATGACGGGTGCGAGGCCGGCCGCCGCTGCGGAAGCACGCCTCTGGCAAGATATGCTCTCCGGAATAGAGGATATGCGCCAGAGACAAGTACGATATTGTACTGTAGGGCAATGGGTGCTGACTGCTTGTTTAAATATCGTTTGAAGCTGAAGGGATGAGGCCAGGGATATATCGTTTTTGATTGGCAAGTTCATGCGTACTTCGCTGGCTCATAGTATATTTCTGTTTGTCCGGCGTTTTTATGATGATATTTCTGCGAACATTTGGTCCTAAGGGTGACGGAATACATGGCAGAAATGCTTCGCTGACAGTGCGGCGTCGTTGTGCAAAGCGTTACGGACGGGAGCACTGCATAAATGCGCAAAATACAAAGTGTCGCCGCATGCAATTATGATGGGTTTGTTAGGTTATTGGGAAGTGTTTTTTGGAATGATTAGCTTCTGTTCATCGTAGGAGAAAAAATGCGTAACTGCTTTGGTAGATCTTTGTAAAATTCATATTAAAAAACCGACGTGTCCCTATGCCCTTATGATGTGCTCTAATAACATGCTTTTGAGAACCATGTCATTCTCCACCTGTGGCATTATTATATCACAATCCGTAGAGAAAATAATTTCATGTAAGTTCTTGTCACTCAGGCGTCTTGAAGAAAGCACTCTGCCTTCGTTTCAGATGGCACCGCTGTATTTCCGCGGCCGCAGGAGCCTGCCTCTAGAACACCGTGACAGTGCGACACTCGAGGTAAGTACACATCAAAGCACGACCAGGGGAGTGGGAAGGGACGACAGAGGGACCGAGATCCCCCCCCCACGCCAACTTTCAGCAAAGTTAACATTGACTCTATGGAAAGACTGAACCGGTGTTGGTTGGATTGAAGGGAATACCTATTAGAATACCTTGACATCGGAAACGCAAATATACGTGGTTGAAATTCAAGCAGAAATCAAGTTTTTGGGTTGCGCTAAATCCGCCGTATTAAACGATTCCAAGTTCAGAATTTCGGTTATTTTTCAAGGTTTTGAGACCTTGAGAAACTCGCTCTCAGAATGAGCCTGGGCATCATGGACATCTTTGTTTTCAAGCACATTTGATGAACCATTTAGAAAAGTCGAACCATCACACACAGGGCATCACGCCCTGAGTACACTTATTGATACTTTGATGTTGTTTCTTAAAGGGCATTACCCATGAATAGTCGCAGTCAATAGCTGCTCATTAATAATGATTCGCTTAAATCCTGTTAGAAACCGGAGTGTCAGCATGATATTTTTATACTCTCAGTTCAGGTTAGTAAATATCCTATTTGTGCTTGAGTGAGTACACATATGTGATCATTGTTATTGATAGGCTTATGGGAGGGGTATGCATGCGTGGAAAATGCTGGATTTGGGTTGGTGCCTATGGCATTGAAGCGGTTGGCTGGCATTACACCTGATTGCTTTATGTTCAAGCCATAGATATTGAGTCAAATGCCCAATAACTCACCCCATCCTCCGTCGCCCGTCGCACAATGCCCCTGACTCCCATCGGACTCCGCGTGGCCGCCGGCGCCGGTCCGGTCCCGACCGCGCAGACCGCCGGCACGACCGCTGTCAGGCCAGCGGCCGTGCCGGGTCGGCTGCACAAGGCACGCCGCCCGGCGCTGTGTTGACGTAGCAAGCATTTCCGTGTCAGCCAGCGGCGGCTCAATAAGGTATAAGGCTGTGCCACCGGTCAGCATTCCTCGTGCAGTTTAATTGCTCCGCCGTGCGTCACGACACCGGGCAGGGGGAGGGGGAGGGGGGGGGGGGAGGGCAACCCGTCCTCACGATGGCTCGCTTCGCAGACCTCACAAGTCCTGTTTGCTTCGCAAATGCGTGCCTCAGGCATATCAGGCGGCGTCGCTTCCATTACGGCTAGAATCCCGTCCTGTTAAGAGCTTAACGGAAACAGATTTTACCAAGCGTCTGTGACGTTGTAGCGGGCTTTCGTTTTTTGCCGCATTTCGCCGGCACAGTTTAAACCCTCGTCCTGATGGAGGGTGCGACCATCCGTAGGTTTCCTGAGGATACCTGTCCGGCATACCGTGCAATCGGCATAACATACCTGTCCGGCATACCGTGCAATCGGCATAACATACCTGTCCGGCATTCCGTGCAATCGGCATGACATTCCTGTCCGGCATACCGTGCAATCACACGCAAATTTGTGGCAACCGCCGAGACATCAATTTGTGAATGTTTTTACATAAACAACACGGTGTCTCCCCTATGTTTTGACGTAGATATTACTTGCCCCTGACGTGTCCGGCTCGTGAGTGGCGATGTTTTTTGAAGAACACCGCACGGTGATCTACGGCCGCCCCGGGCGCCGTGCGGCAGACGGCGACCTCGCAGGCCACGCGCCGCGGGCTGATACTGTGACATTAACGGAGCCCGACGTCATAAATATTGGCCCAAAACACGTGAAACCACGTGCCATGGTACTCATCATTTAACAAGGAGCACGCCTATTTAGGTTTCATGTCGCTTTGGAGGTGGCCTCGTACATATGAGCGTGCAAAGCTGAAATAAGTTGGATTGCCCAGAAAATTTTATTTTTCACTCAGCATACGGAGACCCATTATTGACCCAGCACCACACATGTTTTACCAATCGTGAGATCTCGTTGAGACCAATCCGCTGTTTTCCGCTATGTTCTGTTGTTCATGGCTTGGAAACGGCATTGTCGTCGCATCGACTCCCTCCCCCTCGATCTCGTTGAGACCAATCCGCTGTTTTCCGCTATGTTCTGTTGTTCATGGTTTGGAAACGACATGATGGTCGCATCGATTCCCTCCCCCCCCTAACCCCGCTATCAGTCCGCTTTATGAAAAAAATAGGCAATTTGGACGAGAGCTAAGACGTGGGGTTGTGATAAAGGAGCCAAAAGGAAATGCATGAAGCCGAAATGACTTAAATGTGATACGAAACTAAAAGTTCTATATGGGATTTGGGGCCTATGATGGACCTTCATCATTAAAGCTACTGTTTCATATTCCAAGATATTGAGGCACCATCAAATATGATGGAAAAAGCACACATGTCACAAGAACCATAAGATTATCATCGCTTCGACATCCGTCGCGCTGGCTATTGCGGATTAAGCCGCTTGATTGCTGAGCGCATGACACAGCATAGGATGGTTAAGATGAGCAGGAATGCACAAACACAAAGGCGTGGGGTATTCGTCGGGCCATACACTATTGATTATGCAGTGCACTAGCACCTTTGTACACCTTTTAACCTCCCGTGAGATTACGCGCTGCCTATGCGGATAGCCCATCACCATTGTAGTTTGGTATATAGCCACATGCGCATATGACGCTAATGCTAAATTTTTAAACTGTAACTGCTGCGCAGTCAATGTCCACCAGCCTACAGCTATATTTACCCTCGCCGTCCCGGGTTTTTTATCTTCACCTCTTGGTATGGACCTCGCACATTATCTCAAGAGCTAAGCAGCTGTGAAAATGCAGAACGCGGCGTTGAATAGCTCTTGGAATACTCTCAGATAGATGTTTTCTATGCTTCATGTATTGCAATATGGTGCAAATGCCTTGCATAAGAACCGCAACTCTTTGTGTCATTTTCAATTCATCTGATTATTTGCATACAATTTTATTGAAATGTTTCCTAGGAACCTTCGCATATATTTGTTCAACGTCCCGTATTTACAGTACTATGTCTGTACTGTACACCGTACTGTGCTTACATACCCAGGTGTTTCATTCCTTTTTCCGGTCTCGTATGTCATGAGAAGGGGGGGGGGGCATTTTAAAGACACTACATATCATGGTCCTCGCAAGTAAACAGCGCACACGGCCTTCCTTCTTTCGCATTTGGAGCCCTATTCACAGCCCTGCTGTCGTGTACGGTGTGCACCAGTAAACAGCCCAGCCCACTGACTCGCAATAGGCATACTGTTCTGTTCACTGCGCTGTTCACGGCCTCCGGATGGACCAGGAGGCTCCGCCCCCATGTCGCCGGAAGGGCTACGGCTGAGCCGTGCTGAGACGGGAGAGCCCTTCGGCCCTGACCGGGAAAGGTGATGAGGCTTCTGGTGTTCTATCCACGAAGCCCCTTGCCCACCAGCAGAGGTAAAAAATCTTCTTAGTGTTCAAAATGATTGATCGAACTCAGGTTAAAAAATCAGCGACTTGGCCAAACCATGTTTGTCTCATGATGTCCATCCTTTTTAGAATCGACTAGTGAGACACAATGTTCGACGCGTTTTGATCCCGCGCGCTCGCAGTCTTTCGGAGCCGGAACATGTGTACCGAGGGTTGCAGTTTTCGTCAAACCGAACGGGCGCCGGTCATTGCAGCTGGGCAGGCGACGGGCGCTGGCCTCGAGGGAACGACCATGTACCGTCAAATAACGTTTCCGAAAGTCTCAGAATAGGTTCGTACCGTTCATAAACAAGACTGGGGTGTGCATTTCAGCTGTACAATGATTTCGAATCACGGAGGGAATGCCTGCCCGTCCCGCCGTCGTCGGGCGGTGTGCTAGCATGCACACAACCTTTCGGATGTTAACTCGCTGGCTGTCGTCAGCTGTTATGGAGTCTTGAGAAAAACTGAACGATCTTGGACTTTCAGATATGTACGCGTCACAGCCCGGTCAAAGCCAAACATCGTCCATCCTTCTCAGGACTCTTTAACACTTGACGACGGCCGTAGCGCCCTACCCAACTCTACCCTATCCTGTCTCTACCGTACCCTGTCCCTATCCTACCTTGTATCTGCCCTCCCCCTTCTCTACCCTACAATTATATGTGACGGATGTCACAAATTACAGTGTTCTGTTTTTATCTATTACCTGTACTTTTTGAAAAGAGTAATCGAAGATTGTGGGATGCGGCGCGCGCACACCATTCAAGTGTTTTCATTTCAAGTCCTGTGGGGTTCTAAACTTGTTTAAATTAAGGTAGACCCGAGCAACGGAAAAAATTATTCAGCATTAACGTAGTCACCAATATCTCTTGGCGCATGTTTGGTTCGATGATTAGTTACATTATATTTTTCTGATTTTGCTCAATATTTAGTTTTGAAAACTTTCTGATAATTATCTGTAATACAGTGTCATGTAATGAACCTTGTGAAATTATGATACGCGCACTTTTAAGGTAATTAGCGAACAGAAAGAACTGAGGTATGTTCGTAGTTGCCCAGCCATTCCCTACTCCTCGGTTTGGGTATCTTGTAGGCAGGTATATTTGCTTTGTATTGAAAAAATTGCTGTCGAAAGACGGATATTTGTTGTTGGGCATAGGCGACTTACGGAAGCTGGATATTTTTTTCTAGGGGAAGTCTGATGAAGTTATTCTTGGCATTTTTTATTGGAATGTTGATAGACAGAGTGTAGCCGCTGCAATTTTTGAAGTAAATGAAATGTTTCCTTACATTTGCGTATGATAATTATTTTAAATAATAAATATTAGAAGCTTGCTGAATTCGAGGCCCGTGTCCATTGGACTTATGGGAAATATTCCGACGTACGCAGCTATCTGCTGAAGTGAAGAAGTAGTTACTAATGTTGGCTGCACTCTTATCACATGCCACTTCATGTGGCGTAGAACATGTCATTTCGTTCTCAATGTCCTTTGTTTTGGTAGATATGTTTGCTTTATGAGCAATGTGCACCGCGCAGGTCTGTGAACGGATGAATTGTTTTGTCGGGTCATCGAGGTGTATTGTCATATTAAGTAACATTGATATCTAAGCTTAGCAAAGCTCCTTTAGGTCGTTTCATGGGCTCGGAATTTCCACGAGGCCGGCCTTGCACGTCAAAGCAAAACACATAACTCGCTGGTGGGACTGTACTCATCAACAAATAGCAAGCGATGGTGGTAAATTTAATGCAATGGGCTTGGCCAACATTCCAGGACTAAAAGCATTGCAGTCACAGCCAAGGCCATTTGAAACTATCACCCAGGTAACCTTGCCGTGTGGTGGTCATTAGGCCATAGCTGACGAAGGCCGTAGTCCGGGAAATTCCAGGTGGAATTGAAGTGAATGACACTGCATGGGTGCGTTTGGCTTCCAAAGATGTTAACGGAGGAGTGCAGTTAGTTTTCTACTAAGCACAGTTAAACTGAAAAAGTGTGGATGATCTGTTCCGGTGGGGAAAATGAAGCAAAGGAGGCGTTGGCTCTATGAATGCCGTCACCGCAAGCTTCTGATGGGGGGGGGGGGGGGGGCTAAATCATGTTTTAAATTTTTACTGATCAGATAACAAGCTATGTCGACATTCAATGGCCATGTTTGTTTGTTTTTTGTTTTTGGAATGTTTGGTTTTTGGTGCAGACTTCTTGGTGGCCGGGGAGTCACCGTGTCATAATGTGACTCACGATCGTGGTCAGGGCAGAACAGTGTCACGTGTTGCTATGACAACATAAACGCAAAACCACAACGCCCGCCTGGTTACTAAGTGACACAAGGAAAGGTAACGAGGAGGAAATGTGACACCTATGTGTTTTCACAGCTACCATAATTGCTTGTAAAGCTCCGCGTTAGAAACCCGCAAATGAGGTGACAACCCCCAGTTACCTTGGAGATGTAAGAATGCACACGTCACTAGGCCGTCAGGAGATGTAAGAATGCACGTATCACCAGGGCGTCAGGACATGTAAGAATGCACACGTCACTAGGCCGCCAGGCGATGTAAGAATGCACGCGTCACCAGAGCGCCAGGAGATGAAAGAATGCACACGTCACCAGAGCATCAAGAGATATGAGAATGCACATATCACCAGGGCGTCGGGAGATGTGAGAATGCACACGTCACCAGAACATCAAGAGATATGAGAATGCACACGTCACCAGGCCGTCAGGAGATATAAAAATGCACACGTCACCAGAGCGTCAGGAGATGTGAGAATACACACGTCACCAGAGCATCAAGAGATATGAGAATGCACACGACACCAGGGCGTCAGGATATTCATATATTGATACTAGCTCCCCCCTCCGCACCATTCTGCACCAGTGTGTGTAAACAAACCTTTTTATCCACTGCCAATGTGAAGTTTTGGTCGATCAGTGTGTAAATAGACGTAACGCTTTTTCCCCTCTGTTATATTATGTCATGGGCTCCTATGAAGTTTAGACATGCATTTTGTGTAACCACTTTTTGTGCTGCGTATTCAAGTGCATCATGTCCCGAGCGGTGACAGCAATTTAGACTACACCCCACATACATATTTGGAACGAAGGCAGCATTTTCTGTTTAAAACAATATCCTTTGACTAGTCTAAGTGATAAATGTCTTCGCCGTATAGCGCTCATGCTAAAAATAAAAATGACACCAATTGTAGACAATTGTTTTTGAACCGTAGACATCAAACCAATCTGTCATCAGCGTATGTCGGTTCTGGGCCTTAATCTTTGGTGTATTCTATACGTGATCTGACAGAAGCTTTTGTGTCCGCAGGTGCAAGGAAAGACCAAGAAGCGTTAGATTTCCCGAAGCCGCCATGATGACGCTGCCCAAATGACAGAGATCGTACTGCGCGGGACCGTAGCATCAGAGGCTGGACTCTCGGCGCAACAAAACAGCATGAAGTGGCCCTTCATTCATGCTCAGACGATAGATCTGTTGCAGTTTTGGGTGCTTTTGACGTGTACGTGACACAGCTCGCTGGCAAACGTGAGTCCGGTGTTGCAATTCAATTCAGAGCACATTGCTATCACTCTGCATAAACGACGGACGAGTATTTTTCCATTTTGTCTCTTCCACTTGAAGTGGCCGGAGCAAATCCCCTCATTGATGTCCATCTAATGCCTGTTTAACGTGAATTCACATAAATATATGTGTAAATGTGGTCTGTCTTGAGCTAGACATGACAGTGTCCATATATAATGTCGGTGCATTTGATTGGCTTGCACCGAGGACAACGTCATGGACACGTCTACGCGGGTCCTGAAAATCGCCGGAGACATACGGCTCACATGTTCTTCACAAGCCATTATCACAGGAAACGAGACACGGTGGCGGGGTGTCAAATTTTTTTCAGGAAGGTCTAACAGAACACACCACGTCGTCAAGGTCAAAGCCATTGATGTCACATGACGTTATCCGTGGTGAGACGGCGGCCGTTCACACCACGAACCTGTCAGAAGGTCAGCCCGAAATGAATATTAAACCCAACGGATTAAGTTTTCCAGTAAATGGGATCTTACGGGTCCATTGCTACAAACAGCCTATGTGTTGTTACGTATTTGCTTATTACTGGATTAAATGAGTCAGCTTGCTGGCCATGGACTGCCTGTCGTTACCATTGCGAGCCATGGCGTCGTATACAGGAACCGCATTGACTACAAAGGGCATGCCTCAAATCGTCATTACCGCCATCTTTAATAATAAAGGACTCTCCTCGAACCATCACTAACGCATATTTTGAAGTCGACCGTTTAGCACCTCACTGCCACTGCACTGTAATTTGAACCAATAACATGTACTTGCATAAAAACAAACAAATACTACGGGAGCATTGCGCGCCTTCGCCAATGCCACCGACAGAGGCACCCCGTGTGTCCGTCCAGAGAATGGTAAGTCCTCTAGCCTAGGCCTGCTAGAGGTGAAACCCAGCGCCTCGCTCAGCAACCTGCAATAAACTGAGTAATATAATCGCAAAACAGTCAAGTTTTTGCTCCAACACAAGCCAAACACGAACCAACGAGCCGAACACTGTGACCACCATGGGGTGACCGGAAGAGCAAGTGGCACTGATTTTGTTCCCGGACGCAGCACATTCACCTTCGCAGCGCCCACAGACGGCTTGCCGACCCACAGACGGCTCCCCGGCCGGCAGACGGCTCGCCGGCCCACAGACGGCTCGCCAGCCGGCAGA